TATCAATTCCGGCAGAAACTAAATATTTTTTTGTGTTTTTTGGCCCATGTGTGGCCGCCACGCCATCTTGAATGTCACGTGGTTTGAATTGCCTAATTGGTGATTGATTGTGAGTGCTTTTGATAAAAAGTTTATCATTATAAATTCGCCACAAGCATTAATTTGGGAAATTAAATCAATTATTATTAGATTGCTGTTGCCATGTTATTTAATAATTATATTTTTCAATTAATTTTGAGCTACTCAAATACCTACATACCTATTTAATTAAACCCAAACTAAAATAATAAAAAATGTATACGCAAATTCAATTTCATACGCTCGACGACCCCGTTTACAAAATTACGTCCCCGTAATCCAATCATTTAAAACCCGAGAGCTATTTTCCAGATGTCTAAACATCATCAGCGCCCCAGCCAGTCCACTGGTGGTTGCCTGTACGGAAATTACCGGGACAAATAGAACGAAACCGTTTTTACGTCATTAACGAACTAGGAGATTGTTAGGAAAATAATCGATTCTTAACTAATTACTAATTAAATCTTGAAAAAAAAACTTACCATCAGTAATATTTTTAAACTCGAACAAGAATTAGCAAATTTATCTTTAGAAATTTAAAATATTATGTTTTGAGTTTTTACAAAAACAAAAAAACAAATATGTATGATAAAAAATACTCGTAAAAATATAAGCAATTCACAATACAATATCAAAATATGTAAGGTACCTGACCCAAATAAGGCCATGTACCTAATAAGGCCAGTGCCCTTTATTGATTAATATTGAATCCCGTTTCCAAAAATTACAATATTATTAAAAAAGAAATCTATAAGTAATGCAAATCAAAAATTATTGCAAGGGTTTCCTAGCAACTCGTCATAATGTAAATGTATTGAAATCAATAGTGTGAATAAGAATTTACATAATGTTAATTCCGAGGACTCTGTCAACACAATTGCTAGCTAGTAATGATGAAGTAACCAAACGCCTCCTTAATGAAACCCTGGAGGTGGTAGAAGGACGTCTAATTGAGTTTGAGGCCATGTTCACAGTTGTAAAGAGCAACAAGCAGCAGGTGCGATTTTTGCTGGAAGGGCAAAAAAAAGAACGCGACTTGCCGGAAACCGGGGTAGACGTGGCAGCGCTGTTTTTCCCCCCTTTCAAGCGGGAAGCGTGACAAATATTGGAACAGCTGTTCAAGTTCAAACAAGGCAGACCAATGTTGCCAAATCTCCCCCTTTTTTCTTTTCCTGGGCTAGTGGATCCGCAAATCGGGCAGGAAGTGCAGACGCGATGGCGAAACGCCAAACGAAAGCGCTCGTCGACAGGCAATAGAGAAAAAAGAAGATAAGATGTAGAAAATATAAACCCAAAAAAAACAAAGAATCAAGTTGAGAATCAGAAATTTACACTAAATATAGTCCAAAATCGGAAAAGAAATCGTAAAAGCAACCAAAGTTTTGTTTTTGGGGAAGGAAACTTTCCAGGGGATAAGAATTTTGCATGCTCAATTTAGAGGACATATTTTTATCTCGGTCGCGTTAAAATGGGTGTAACACCTAATTTTATTAAACAGATTGAACAGCATGTTAAAAAGCGATGTCCAGATATGAGGGACCTTAAGGTTGAACCTTTGCCAGTTAAAGTGGAAACTACCTCTTTCAAGGTAAGCATCCACTCGGATTGCAAGGAACCTAATATCTGGCCAAAAGGCGTTAATTCAAGAAAATTCTGGAGGAACAATGTACGTAAGTCCAAGAATTTCCTATATAAATAACTGGAAACGGTGGTCACATCACGGATATTCTGATTTATTACAATAATACTGGTGGTCTTAGACTCAGGATTAAACTTAATGTGGTTCGGCAGGCTGTTGAATGTTATGTTTTGAACCTTGAGCAGGCTGCTCTATGGTTTTATGAAACATTGTGGGAGGGGATAACTCGATGTGTTCCAGTAAAGAAATTCCGAAGTTTTAACTTTCCTGTGTGGTTCAACACTAAGCTGCGTAGATTGATGGTTAAGAAGAAGAAGCTGTACAAAAAATGTAGAGAAACGAGAGATGATTTGGACTATTTGTTGATCTCTAAAGTGAGGGATTAGGTGCAAGGATTTGAAGGACTCCTCTCATAGAATGTACCTGCTCAAAACTGAAAATACCATCATTAATGGGAATCCTAGATCATTTTGGTAACACTTCAACAATCTGTAACATGAGTTATAATGGCTGTACTGGCTGTAGTAATCTAGAGACTGAAGACTTGTCTGCAGACTTCTTTTCTAGTGTTTACCGAGCCACTAATCAGACTCCGGAATGCTCATTTCGTAACGTCATTGATTTTTTAGTTATAGACTGTGAGATGGACTGTTTAGTGGAGTCATTTTTTTTGTCTGGCATTTTAAGGGCTGAATGTGGCTAGAGTTAGCTAATCGAGGATATGGGTGATTTTAATGCCTGCCACCCGTTCAAAAATTTGGAGGAGAAAAAAATTGATTTACATGAAGAATTTTTTTTTTAATGATCTCGAATTTTCTGGCTTTTTAATTTAAGATTGACATTGATAAATAATTCACCAATAAAAAATACCAGATGCTTTTCAATAGCTGAAAAAGTGGGGATGAGTGTCAACTTCCAAGAGAAAAGAAAAGAACCTTCCGCGTTTACTTTTTGTCTGGGAATCAAGAGAATAAAAGGTTTTGTTGTGAAATTAACGCAGAAAAATCGCCAGACGGTAATCACAGTTCGAAATCGAGCAAATGCGCAAAACATTCTGTGGACATTTCGAACAGGTATTGAAATCACTTATATTCTCATCAGCTAACTAGCCACATTCTGCCCTCAAAATGCCAGACAAAAAAAAAATTACTCCACTAAACAGGCCCTATCTCAGAGTCTATTAATAGAACAAGTAGAAAAATTCACCTGATAAGTTGTAATGTGGGCTGGATAGAATTCCCTTGCTCTTTATAAAGAAATGCCTGTACACCGTTGCAACGCCCCTGGCAAATCTCTTCAACCATTCATTGTTGACAGGTTCTTACCCGGTTTTGTGGAAGTTCAGCTTTTTGGAACCAATATTCAAAAGTGGGCCAAGAGAAGAAGTCACAAATTACTGGTCAGTCTGAGATTCCTAAGTTGCTGGATTGTCTCATTACCAGGAAACTTATAGCTGGGACTGTAGGTACCTTTTGAATATGAAACAGAATGAGTTAGCGGTGGGTAGGTCTACATTAAGAAATTTGGTTTTATATCAGAATTTGGGTTCTATCAAGAAAGCTACTAGGGGCTTTACAAGTACCTATACGCCTTATCAAAATTGTTTACGCATCACTAGTCAGATCCGTTTTTGAATATTCACGAATAGTTTGGCCTCTTCACTATCAGATCCACATCAATAGGCTTGAAAGTGTTCAACACAAATTTATCAAGTTTGCAAGGTACAGACTTTCTCTGAGTAATGTGATTCTCAGTGATGGCCAGACTATAGCTTACTTAGACTCAACTACTCTTATGGGCTCGGTAAAAATAAAAAATTAGCTTAACCATCCTGATTATCCAAACACTTTCAATTATCCATCAAAATAAGTTATCCCAATAATTGGCTCAAGTTTATTTGAATAAAGGATTCATGCATGTTCAAATTATTATTGTGCCAATATGAAATACAGCATATAGGAGGTACCTTCTTGGCACGTATTTATTTAGCAACTGTTTGAATTATTCAAAAATTAAAATAGTTTCATTAAATTCGAACAACAGTTTAATAAAAACCCACGCCAGAGTACTATAGGTGATAATTAAGCGAAAATTGAAATTTAGATGCGCTGTAGGAGCCTGTAATAGTTCCCTTGTCCTAGCATTTCAGAGAATTTATATTATTTTTATAATGGAGAAAGAAGAGTTGTGGGCCGTATAATACCGTAATTTGAGATTGGTTTTCAGGACAAGTAAGTCTGCCTACGTTCATTTACTTGATATTCTTGTCTCGGTACATTATGCATAATTAATGAAATACTATCGCGTGAACGATGTTAACGGAAAATTCAATGAACTATCGCCAATAGAAAAACTAATTGTTAATCAATTCAAACTCAAACGAATTTCGATTGATTGAAATTTGATTAGTGATTATTTAGTCTTGCAGAAGTAGAATTTTCCGTTCCATAAATCTTGAATACCTTAAAATATTAAATTCATAGGCACATAATTACAACATTATTAACTCATCCGACACAGTTTAATTACCGACAAAAACCATAATTAGACTTGTTAATTAATAATTGTCATGTATTGTTTCGTGACTTATCAATTACCGTCACAGACCCAGACGCTTTTATTGATATGCAACCCCTCCTTCATTTTAAACATGGTCATAATATAGATATCATTAACATGAGGATACCTTTAGAGAGCATCTAAACAAGTGACGACACCAAATTTGCTTTAATAATGCTAAATGCATACAACAGTGGGTAAACAGACAACGTTGATGGAGTTTGTATAGAAGATAAAATAATGATAAAGTAAAAGTATTGTTAATTGGAAGGGAAATATATTAATATATAGTATATTTTTATCGTAAAAATTGTTTCAATTTGGTTTTGGGTAATGAGAATAGAATTGGACTTCAGGAATTTTATAGGATATCTAGTGGTTCCAGAGATGAAATGTTTTCTAACTGTATAGAGGGATGTCGCAGATTCTTCAAAAGCTTAAAACCAACCTTGGAATTCTTACTACAAAAAATAATCCTTGGCAATGTTAAACCGTGTGGAAAATCCATGATAAGTACTTAAGTAATAATAAAGTGGATGTTATTTTCGGTCAGCGGTCATAAAATGGTTTTATTTATGTGTCATAAAACAATATGTGCACGAGATGCATTGTAATTTTGCTTAAAGTGTCATGAAAAACAAAGTACTTAAAATTTTATACGATTTCCACATATAAATATGTTGAAAGGAAAATTACAATTTAAAGATAATTCTTTTTGTTTCAGTGGTGTATTTCACGCTTTGGTCCGAAGCGATCCCAGTCAGGAACCGATGCACATTCATACTTACGACAATCGTGGTAGTTTCGGAGAATTGGCTTTGCTCTACAATATGCCCAGGGCAGCTACCATCCTAGCTATTACTGAAGGGTCTCTGTGGGCGATGGATCGACAGACATTTAGGTAAGAGAACTTTATTTTAGATACATATTAATACTCAAACTAACTGTGAGGTTAAATTATCTCAAAATCTTAAAATTAACACATAATTGGTAAAACTGAATTTGAATATCATAGAACCTAAGCTTTACGTATAAAAATATTAGTGTTTGAATTGAAAGAAAATTTGAAAAAGTTTTTAAACAAGCTGTACCTAATATTCATGAGTTTGTGTGAAAAAATTGGAAAAAAAAGTTTCAGTTTATTGAAGCCTCATTTATTTATTTATTTGTAGGCAAAGTTTCCAGACTTTGGTTAACCATTTTATAAATTAATAAGTTTCAGACATGTTGCTCATAAAGATGGAATGATAAGATTGATCAAAAATAAATTGTTACAGTTTCAAGATGGGATCAAAAATTGTCATTATGATTTTTACCACTTCTTATTTTGTAAGAATTTCCTCACCAGCTATCAAATTTCCAAAACTTTTTTGAATTTGTACTGGAATATAAAATCATTATCTTCCGTGCTCCAGCATAAACCTGATATTTTGTCATTTATCTTTTCTGGTGAACTAATATTAAGATTTTTTTCTGGGAACATATGACTTTTTGGATTAAAACTTGATATTTCTCTTGAATTGCTTAGCCAATTAACCATACTAGACCAATCGAAATACCTAACTCATTTAGAAAGGAAAAAAAAAAAATTGTTACCTGGACTTTTATAGTTGGAAATGGTCAAGAGGCTTACATTAAACGTAAAAAAAATTAATTCCACACGGGGGGTAGTGGAGGGTTGCTTTGGGGGGTTGAAAAGGTATGGAAAATAGTATTATTACGATTTCCGGCGAAATTACACATCAAACCGAAAAATACCGAATACAAGAGTTATAGATCATGCAAATATCTACAACTTTTGTATAGGTCACTTTCGACATAACCTTAAAACTTCCGAGGAAAATGCAAAAAACCATGTATTTTTTTAACTTTCTATTTTTATTTTTCATTTGGAACAAAATAATTTCTGCTTGTGCTCATTTTATTCGTTTTGACATATACTTTTTAGTGCAGTAAAAAAAAATAGCTGTCGCATTTCAAAAACTTACTCAAAAATTGAAAAAATGCAAAAAATGACATTTGCAACAATTAATTTATTGATGATTTGTTTGAATTTTAATAAATTTTCAAAAACTGATTACGCTATTCATGCAAGCAATTCTATGGGAGAAAATACGATGTGAAACTAGGCCGATCTTGGTCTTTTGTGCAAATTATCTTCATCGTCCGATGCTGGATTATAATGGCTTTCTTCTAGATCTTCGAACGATTCCTTATCTTCGCAATCACTATCAGTATATTCCTCTTGTTATTGGTTTTGTGACTCTAAGCAAAGACTAGGCAGCTCGATGTTTTTCGTATCACTTGAATCTTCCGATATTTTGTCAACGTTCGAACAATTATTTGAACATTTCCTACATAAATCTGTACATCGCAGTCCGTGTTTTCGACACCCGCATCTTTTAGGTAACTTCACAGCTGCATGAGATTGTTTTCAATAAATCTGCAGGTATGACTGAGGCTTCTGTAAAACGAGGCATCAGTGTTGTCCAATTATTAGCAATTACTTCTTTCCAGTCATACCTGAAGATTTATTGAAAACAATCTCGAGCAGCTGTGAATCCAGTTGTGAAGGTTAAAGATGCTGGGGTCGAAAACACGTACTGCCTTGAACAGATTTATGTAGAAAATGTTCAGATAATTGTTTGAATTTGAACTTGAACTAGTCTTTGCTTAGAGTCAGAAAACCAATTACAAGAGGAATATAGTGATAGTGATTGCGAAGATAAGAAATCGTTCGAAGATCTGGAAGAAAGCCATTATAATCCAGCATCGGACGATGAAGATAATTTGCACAAAAGACCAAGATTGGCCTAGTATTATTATTTATTTTTTTAATACTATTCAGGGACGTAGCAACAGGGCGTGCAAGCGGTGCCGCGCACAAGGGCCCGGGACCCGAAGGGGCCCAGGGCCCAGCGAAGAAAATTAAAAAAAATCGGAAATTTCTCTTCCCGTACTCGTTAGGAAAATAGCTATTCCGCAAGTGTTAGGTACAATATTTTTCCTACAGGCGAAAAAATGTAAAATTTTTCTAATTTTTTTTCGACATATCAGTGCGGTAAATTTTTTTCCGCACTGACAGCCGTGCGGAAAAACTTTTTCCGCACTGATATGTCAAAAAAAAAGTTTTACCGCACCGTGCGGGAAAACTCATTTTCCGCACGCATATCAGTGCGGAAAATCGATTTTTCCGCACGGCTGTAGGAAATAGCTATTTATACAATAAGTTACGAAATGAGCGTCTTTTAGGCACGCGACGTGAAAATTGTCCAACGAAGCAAAGCCGAGTTGGACAATACGTCGAGTGACTAAAAGACATCGTTTCGTAACGTATTGTATACAAGATTTTTTCTACTGGCGTTTCATAATAAAAAAACACAATTTTATTTCATGTAAATAAGTCGATTACACCCAAAATCTTTGTTACCTGCTTTTACTTGACACCTGACACTTTTCATGCGATTTTCTTTTCAAAATTCGACATCAATAATTAAAATCCTAGAAAGTAGGTAATAACACAAAATTCTGTTTTGAGTAACCCAAACAAACGTTCAATTCAGTAATTCCATTTTCAATATTCATAATAAATACAAAACAAAATTCAAATATGTGTTTAGTGTGTTTTTTATTTCTGAATAATGAATGACACTTTTAGGCACTAGTGCTTAAAAATTACTTTTACGCACTCATAAGTCACTTTTACGCATTCAAAAGTCACTTTTACGCACTGAGTGCTTAAAAGTAACTTTCACGCACTCAGTGCCTAAAAGCATGTCGTTTCAAAACTGAAATGACAATCGAAAAGTTGCTATTATGAAACGTCAGTAGAAAAATTTCTTTTCAGTCAGCCCTCCGAGTCACAGTACTCGTGTCAATATTGTCAATTGTCATTCTCAATCGTGGAATTTCATGACTCACATGAGTGAATTCCCTTTGGGATGTGATGTGGGAATTGTAGGATTTTGTCGATGAAAACAGTAAATCTATTACGTAAGGAGCCCGGAAAGTATTGTTTTTTTGGACGAGTATACAAGATTCTAGAATTCAGGGTGAGGCGTAGCCGAGTCCGAAAATACACTTTCCAGATGTATTATATTATGTACACTTTTTTTTCGGCCGGAAAGTACATACTTCGCAGACTATAGGCCGGAAAGTAATCTCTTCCCTTCCTGGCCTAAGTAATCAATGAAAAGGACATACTTTCCCAAGTAAAACACGTACCTTTTATAAAATATTTAAAGTATTTGTCACAGAAATAGAAAACTAGATATTGTCTGTTAGCCCTCCAAAGAATTTGCCATGCGTCATTTTGTATATAATATCTCCTTCCACGCCCAATGAATTTGAATCTTCAAATGTCCATCCATATGTTGAAGGTGGTCCACTGTAGTCTTGTACTAGGACCCGGTTGCATGGAGGTAAGTAACACACATTTGGCTCACGTTCGCAAATTTGGATGTAACACCCGATATCGCAACGGAGAGTTTTTTTATCGGGCGTTACTTACCCCAGACAGATTTGCATTCACATAATGTTTAAAATTAATGCCTTTATTAGAAACCTAGTATAGATATATTCAAAGTAATATTATTAGTTTTTTATGTTGCAAACTTTCTGTATTTTATTAATTCGCTTGTTAATTCGTCTAGACTTAGAGAAAAATAAAACTAAAAATACTTCAATTATTCTATTTTATGAGTTAAAAAACTCACAAATTTGTGTTTTTATACACCCAATATTAATTAATAGTCCTCTAAATGATATATTTTGGCAAGTTGACAACATTGCCTCTTACACTGCTGGCTGCTGTGGCGTCAGCTTCCGAATTTTGTTTAGACAAGAAAATTTCTGGAGGACGTGCATTTGCATAGTATGTTTTCTATAATAATTAAAAAATTAATACTGGTATTATGCCAGAGGATTATCCATAGTTAATTCGAATTGAAACACTAAAAAAACATCTAAGCCGTTTTCTCGCGTCCACTTTTTTGACATTGGTTCAAAACCAGTTTGAAGCAGTCAATGGAAACACCATTGGCCGTTTCAAACCTGTTTTGAACCAACGTCAAAAAAGTAAACGCGAGAAAACGGCTAAGATGTTTTTTTAGTGTTTCAATTGAAATTAAAAACATTATATTAATTATGTTAATAAGTTAAACATACATATACAGTGTGTTGAAATTCGAGTCTCTACATGGGGATTTCGCTTATTATGAAAGATACAGGGTGGCTCAAATTAGGAAAGTTTTAGAGAATTTGTTGCTCATTTATATTCTGTTGTTAAATTTGCTTCAAAGTTTTCTGTTTCCTAGAAATCCGAGAAAAACTGAAAATAGCCAATTTTGTTTTTTGTCAATAATTCATAAACCGTTGACTTTAGACTTTTCTAACTTCAATATTATTGAGACACTTTTTTGAGACGGATATTTTCGTGATTTGAAAACATTCCGATCGTCGTTTGTTTTCGAGTTATTAACCAAAACTTTCTTATTTCTTATGGCGGCCATCTTCGATTTTAACAAAATAATATTCTGCGAAAAAAATCCTTTAAAATGATGTACCTATTACAAGCTATGAAAACGTTTTGCAAGTCCTTCAAAATTACAGTTCGAACCGATATTTTGCTAAATTTGGCAACAATGCTCATAGTTATAAGAATAAAACCGAGAATAAAACTAAATAAAATCTGTTTTTTTTTTTAAAGATAAAAGTCAAACTGACATTATGTTGGCAACACAATGTAAAATTGTCAATGCTTCAGATTTTCTTATGTAGAGAAGGCTTGTGTTGCCAACATAGTTACTAAATTTTTGACTTGGGGAATTATCTTTAAAAAAAAAACAGACTTTAAGTATGATTTAATACCTAGAATCGGTATTTTTAAGGTCCTCTGGCAAT